CCTGCCATGGGCAGGGACACCTTTCACTACACCAGGTTGCTCAAAGCCTCATCCAACCTGGCCTTGAACACCTCCAGGGATGGGGCACCTACAACTTCTCTGGGCAAGGATGGTTTCCCTGGGCCACGCGGTCTGTGTGGCAGACGGCAAAGGGGACCGATTGTCCCCTTACGTGCCTCGGGAGTGCTGAGCCGGGGTACGGCACGCGGTGGAGCGGTCCTGCTGTGTGCAGGGCAGGAGAGCCTGGCAGAGGGAGGCAGCCCTGGGTCCTGAAGGGCTTAACCTGTTCCCCCTGGGCTGTTTTGACGGATGGTTTCCCTGGGCCACGCGGTCTGTGTGGCAGACGGCAAAGGGGACCGATTGTCCCCTTACGTGCCTCGGGAGTGCTGAGCCGGGGTACGGCACGCGGTGGAGCGGTCCTGCTGTGTGCAGGGCAGGAGAGCCTGGCAGAGGGAGGCAGCCCTGGGTCCTGAAGGGCTTAACCTGTTCCCCCTGGGCTGTTTTGACGACAAGAACATGTCTGGAGTTTAATGGTGTGTTTGAGGCTGTGAACAATCCCTGTTGCTTCCTCGGCTCTAGCAGAGGGACCCCGGTACCTCCTTCTTGCAATCCTGCTCTGAGCCCCCGCGGTCCTGTCCTGGCCTTGCCTGGGCTGCGCTGTCTGTGCCCGCGCTGGCAGGTGGAGCCCTGGGCTGTAGTTGTGCGCGGTTTGCAGCACCCTGGGCATAGGGACACTGCCGTGACGCAGATGGGACGCCCGGGAGCCGTGGGCAGCTCTGAGACCTTCTCGATGTACCGAGTGGAAGGTCCTGGTCATGTGAGGAGTTGGCATGAGCTCTGCAAAGGGCTGGGGGGTCCGGGTGCCGTTGTGAGCAGCCGCTGCTGGAAGCAAGGCTGCAAGCAGAGACTCTGCAAGCCTTGCAGCTCGGTGGTGCTCTGTGTGGTGTCCACAGGGATGGAGGTTTGCAAGCGTTTGACCTGGTGACGTGTGTCTGGAAGGAGATGGGGCTGGAAGAGGGGAGATAATGGGGACTCTTTGCAGCAGGGTGGACATCTGGGTAACGTGGACCTGCTGCACCCAGGGCCGCTGGTGTGGTGTCCGCAGTGTTCCTGGCGCTGGTTTGTCTGTGTTGAACCATTGCCTCTCCATGCCCTGTGCTTCCTTCCCGGCAGGCGCTGACTCGCGTGGCTGCGGAGGACGAGGTGGATTCAAACTCGGCTGCGGTGCCTGGAGGGAGTCTCCTGGAGCTGGAGCAGTACCACGCCGGGCAGAGGAGGAAGCTGCTGGTCCTGCAGCTGGTGGCCACGCTGTGCGAGAGCGTCTCGGACACCGTGTTCACAGACATCGCTCAGGTTGGTCACGGCAAAGCCCTGGGGAATCGGCGGCTGGAGCGTGTGGCAGACCGAGCTCTGGGCTGCTGGGCTCTAAGGAGACGAGGGCTGAGAAACAGCTGGAGAAAGCTAGAGCATCCCCAGCAAGAGCAGTTTATTGATTCAGTTGCGAGTGTCTCAACGAGACGCCGTCCTGTGTAGTGCCAGCAGGAAGGACAGAGTCAGCTGCAGAGCCAGGAGGGATCAGCCCAGCAGACGTCTTCGTATTTGTGTCCGTGGTTGCATGTTAAAGCCAAGAGAGTAGCCTGTGTGTTCATCAGAACCCTCACTTGCCAGCTTCTCGTCTTTATTTTGAGCAAAAATTATTCCCAGGTTTGGCAGAGCTTGAAGACATCTGTACCCAGCAGACCTTTTACGCCAGTGCTTGCTGCCTACCCATGGTGTAGGTGCCCGGGTTTTCTGGCATGTCTTGGCCGCCACCTTTGGGAGCTGCGGCGGCTGGGCTGCCAGCTGGGCGATCCCAGCATGGCACCGCCACCGCGTCCCGAATGGGCCGTTTGTGGCTTTTCTCTTATTTCTGCTGCTGGGGCGCCCGCAGCGAGTGGTGTGTCTGGTCATCGAGGGTGGCATAACTGTGCTCGTACGGTCGGCGCTTGTCTGTGTCTTCTTGAACGGGCAGCTGTAAAATTTATTTAATACTGTAATTTCAAAGGCCAGCTGAGACTTTTGGACCCTGGTACCAAAAAGGGTTGTTAAAACATGGCACTTGTGTCCGCCCTGAGCAGCAGCGCCAAAGGGGATCGGCTGTCCTGCACCGTGCCAGGTCGGGAAGGCTCTTGGGCGCCGAGGGCAGGACGGTATTCCCCACCTGATCACTGTGTTTGAACTTCCTCATCCTGTTTGGTTTTTGGTTTGGTTTGTGTTTTTTCCAACTCAGTGACCTGTTGTGCAGTTAACTGTGACCGCCTTGAGCGGAGGCGGTCGCTGCTACCACAGCTTTCCTCACTTTTCCCTTTGGGACAAAGGAGCCTTTGTGTGCGCTGTGCCGTGAGCGAGGGGACCCAGCCGGTGTCCTCGGGCACCGGTGGGTGCGGGCGGGGTGGCGGGT